ATTGGCTTTATCAAAAGGACAAGATCAGGTTTGTTGGCAGGAATTCTTCTGAGGCTGTATATGGGCCTATTCCACAGAAGTTTGAAAGCATCATTTTCCATGACGCCCTGGACATGTTCAGGGTCGTACCATGGATGGACCTCGGAGTCAAAGCCACAGGCATGTCGGAGACGGTAGTAAAAGCAGCGAGCCATGCCATCATGTCGTTTAAGATATGCTGTTTGTGCCAAGGAAGGGCATCCACTGACAAGGTGTTGGACAGTCTCTGTGAATTCATTGCAAAGTCGACATTTCATGTTAATATTCTCATTAAGAATCACATTTAGGCGATTACGAGTGGGAAGTGACTGGTCCTGAGCAGCAAAAAGGAAGCCCTCGGTTTCACATTTAAGACCAGCCGACTTCATCCAGGCGAAGGAGTCGGAGGGATTGCTATTCTGTTCCACACACTGCATGTACACACGATGCAATGGCTTCTCAGAAAGCTTCTCCACAAAAGACCGACTCTGGGCAGACTTGGTGAAGGACTTCACCTGGTTTACTACCATCGCTGTACCATCCAGCAGTACATCGCCATCAGCAAAGTCAACCTCAAATTTCAGATTCTGTCCAACAACCTTGGCACGCTTAAAATAGCTGTATTATTATTATTATTATTATTATTATTATTATTATTATTATTATATATGGCGCGCCTGTTCTCATTCCTGAGCCTTACCACTACATGTACTATGCGAAAAAAGTAGGGTTCATTTTCGTTATAGGACTGTGTCTCAATATTGCTCTCAACATACACTACAGTACTGAATGGTGCAACATGAGTAAAGATGACATCGGTTGACTCATAAGAAGCATTCCTGGGGGAATTCGTGTCAGGCCAAAAGAGATGGATTTAGCGGATCCTGGTAAAGTTACGAGCAAAATGCAAAATTGGAAAATGATCCTCGACGTCTCTAAAGACTTAGTACGCCACGATCTCATCACACCAACCATTAGAACCCATTAGATCACATCGCCTGGTCACCACAGATAGTATCATACTGTTGCCTATGCCATATGAATAAGATGACATACTTTGTTGGCTGCCGATATTCCTACTTGTTGGACATAGTACATGTATTGCTCTGTATTGCCATACGAACTGTAAATATTTTTGACCAGTCTGACTGTATCTGTGGTGGACCGGACGTTACTGTGGTGGACCAGACGTTACTGTGGTGGACCAGACGTTACTGTGGTGGACCAGACGTTACTGTCGTGGACCAGACGTTACTGTGGTGGACCAGACGTTACTGTGGTGGACCAGACGTTACTGTGGTGGGCCAGACGTTACTGTCCTGGACCAGACGTTACTGTGGTGGACCAGACGTTACTGTGGTGGACCAGACGTCACTGTGGTGGACCAGACGTTACCGTGGTGGACCAGACGTTACCGTGGTGGACCAGACGTTACTGTGGTGGACCAGACGTCACTGTGGTGGACCAGACGTTACTGTGGTGGACCAGACGTTACTGTGGTGGACCAGACGTTACTGTGGTGGGCCAGACGTTACTGTGGGGACCAGACGTTACTGTGGTGGACCAGACGTTACTGTGGTGGACCAGACGTTACTGTGGTGGGCCAGACGTTACTGTGGTGGACCAGACGTTACTGTGGTGGACCAGACGTTACTGTGGTGGGCCAGACGTTACTGTGGTGGACCAGACGTTACTGTGGTGGACCAGACGTCACTGTGGTGGACCAGACGTCACTGTGGTGGACCAGACGTCACTGTGGTGGACCAGACGTTACTGTGGTGGACCAGACGTTACTGTGGTGGACCAGACGTTACTGTGGTGGACCAGACGTTACTGTGGTGGACCAGACGTTACTGTGGTGGACCAGACGTTACTGTGTTACTGTGGTGGACCAGACGTTACTGTGGTGGACCAGACGTCACTGTGGTGGACCAGACGTCACTGTGGTGGACCAGACGTTACTGTGGTGGACCAGACGTTACTGTGGTGGACCAGACGTTACTGTGGTGGGCCAGACGTTACTGTGGTGGACCAGACGTTACTGTGGTGGACCAGACGTTACTGTGGTGGACCAGACGTTACTGTGGTGGGCCAAACGTTACTGTGGTGGACCAGACGTTACTGTGGTGGACCAGACGTTACTGTGGTGGACCAGACGTTACTGTGGTGGACCAGACGTTACTGTGGTGGACCAGACGTTACTGTGCTGTACAGATCTATGACTATGACCATGGGTTCGATTCCAGGTTCTACTGAATGTTTTTAGATTTGTCAGCATACAACACGTGGTTGAATGTTTCATAACTGTATTGGATTCTGTATCTCATGGCGATATCATTTCACCTTATACTGTGAAATACCGGAAATATTGTTCACGGCAACTCACTATAAACGCAACTCACTTCAGGAATATAGTCTATCCTGTAATTTCCAACCTAAGTTTCTATTCTTAATTTATATATATGAACCTATCAATACGCTTTACATGATCGGTATGGCTTTATTAATGGAATATGCCTTCCTTAAATAGCGTTTGTTGAATTGTAATAAGGTCTTTCTTTCACGTTTAATCGAGTTCATACAAGAGAGAATTTAGTGATGTCAGGCTCTTCCTTACGTGGACCAGCATGTAGAAATGAAAATGACTTCCATGAATTCCTCCTTGGAGTTTCACGTGATTTGTCCACAAATAACACAACTGGGGCTTAGTTTATATTTTACGTGAACTTCTTCAATCATGATCCCTTCCAACAAGTGGTGGCTCATTCGGGCCACCGACATGCCACTATTAGGGTATACAAAGTCATTTTCGATTATTAGTTACGCAAGCAAAGTCATTACCTCCCTCATGTGTCAGTGTATACTAGGCGATACACCAGAACAATGGCCATTATAAACATGAACACTATATACCTCACCTCAAAACCAGCATCATTCCTTGCTTTAATGCTTGCGTTGAACAACCTGCATTGATCCAGATTTCATTCATGTCTGTCCGTGAGTTCCAGGTGTTTTTAAGATTGGGTGTGGTTAAACAGTGATTCGGGAGAAGGATCCGTTTTACCTGCCAAAAGGACGCCAGTTTGTACCATACTCGTGACAGAGGGTAACAGGTTTTGTGGTCGAATGAGGGGTGTTAAAATGCCCAGTATATCAGACTTGACGTTTCGTTGGTCTCTTAAGCCCATTTCCAGCATTGAATTTCAGTTTCTCATCGGAATAGTCAGTATCTCTGCCGATGTAACGCAAGTGATGGTGTATTGCCGATCTCACATTTTTGTACTCGGCAGCTTGTCTGGCTGGCATTCTCTTACGTCTTGGAGAGATATGTTCTTTGTTTCGGCTTCAGTATAAAATTGCCTTAATTTCATGTATAGGTTTTCAGGCTTGTTGCAGCCCCTGCTAACTTCACCCACCAAGTCTGGAATTACAACAAACATTATTTATGTTATCTCCCTTGGACCAGAGAAAGTTTCCTTGAATGTTATTGAGGACAGCTTTGCCAAGTAAAAATTGCCCATATAATAGGCTATTTTCCATAAATCCGTTTAATATACATATGAACATATTTTGCATCTGCGCGTTCACAACTTACTGTTTACTTCATAATAGCCACAGAGAAATAAATCCAGCGTTGCTGTCCATTGGAACATTTTAACACCCCAGTTAGTGCTTTTGTCCATTGCTTTGGATTGACGACAGTCCTCTAAAACATTAAGATACGTTTTAGTTAGTATTCTCGGGTAGGGGTTGTAGTTTTGGTGGTTCACGTTCGACTTTAAAGGCTCTGGGAAGTTCGAGGGTAGCGTCTATCGTAAATGCTCTCATTGCTTCCAGATCGTAATCTTCGTCCAGAAAATTCATTTTTTCCTGTAGTCAGAGTGTTATTTAAGACAGCGGAATTCTCTATGTTTGTTCAATAGAAAATCGCCGCAGATGTCGCTTGCATGAGCCATTGTTACACAGTAGCAGACGACTACAGTCGGGCAAATACGTTTTGTTATGAAAATACCTTTGACTCTTGCGTGTAAATTTTGTTTTAAAGAATGGAATGATTCTGGGTGTGGCATAAGAAATCAGTTACCAGTGGAAGTGTTCATTCATCGACTTTATTTGTACTAGAGAATATGCATATCACGGGAAAGACACAAGGATTAGCGAACACGTCTCTCAAGTAGTCGCGTGTGGGCGTGGCCAATGTTGTGTTTTTTGTTTATGGAAACATGAATGTACAAATGAAAGCATTGTTAACCACTGACGTAATTACTTGCAATATATTTATTTACCTAGATTCTCTACCTCAACTCTGCGTATTCCATCACGGGTAGATAATAATGAGATTTGAATCCTCTGAACACGTTTTAAGAGACATTGTTGCTTGGACAGTTTACACAAGATGACACTTTTATCAACAAGTGAGTGTCAGTTAAAGGGAGAACATACACGTACTACGAACACAAATTATTCTGCATCGAAATTCATAACGATGTAGGGAGTAATAAGCAAACATTACGTGCAAAACCAACCTCATTCCGTTCAGCTATAATGTATTTGCAATGTGCTGGACGTTTATTGAATGCTAAAGACGCAAAAAACATAAAAATAAATAATAATAAATAAATAACATATGTAAGTATGTGTACTGTATGAAGGATTTTATTGATTCTGTTCCATTTCCTTTGTTTGGAATCTTGACAGAAAGACTTATCCCAGTGAGAATGCAGATCGTGCACCCTCGCGTGAGATGGAAATGTAAATCTTACCCTTCACAATACCCAGGGTGACTGTGTGACTGCGGTAGTCCTGTACGTACATCGATACCTTTTGTGACTGTCCGGGAACCATTTCAAGAACGGAACTTCACCACATTCCATTAACATGGTGACATGTCTTTCTGTTTCCTCAGCACTGACATCAGTCTCTGGAGATTCAGCACTGGCATCAATATCTGGAGATTCAGCACTGGCATCAATCTCTGGAAATTAAGCACTGACATCGATCTCTGGAGATTCAGCACTGACATAGATCTCTGGAGATTCAGCACTGACATGGATCTCTGGAGATTCAGCACTGACATCGATCTCTGGAGATTCAGCACTGACATCGATCTCTGGAGATACAGCACTGACATCGATCTCAGAAGATTCAACACTGATATCGATCTCTGGAGATTCAGCACTGACATGGATATCTGGAGATTCAGCACTAACATCGATCTCTGGAGATACAGCACTGACATCGATCTCAGGAGATTCAACACTGATATCGATCTCTGGAGATTCGGCATCCCTGTCAACCTATCACATACACCGATAGCCGGGTCCGAAATCACATATCAAGATCAGTTTCTTTCTTTGAGTGCAACCACATTGATGTCTATGAGTCTGATATTCGACAAAGACCTCGAGTTTAGCGGCGTTAACGTCGTCACTGCAGACAGTGTCATGAGTAGCGCACAACTGTGACTAATCCAGCATGATGTTTTGTTGGACTATCCACGACCCAGCATGCCAGATATCAAGTGCACCAGCGATATCTCTCTCCAAGCTGTTTTTATATGCCGTCCTTGAGATTGTACAGCTGATGTTGTTGTGCTATGGATTCATGTTTTGTGAATCTAAAGCAGGCACCTTTCCAAAAGTAGTTTACGGGTGGTTTGAAAACTAATTAGCCATTCGTGAATCAATTTCACGTTATCAAATTTTAGCATTATCATTCCTAAGACTGAAGCTATTGCTAACTCTGTCCCCGTGGTAGTAACACAGATGAACACTGATCACTTCGTATATTCAGCTTTACATATATGGACTATTGGTTGAGCACCTGGAAATCACACTAAACGAGTTAGCTCATCCCGACAGTCGAACCTCCTATACTGTAACATAGATTTACGACAGTCGTAGCGCTACGATACCTTTGTGAAACAGGGTCCAGATATCTATGTTGGGATGTTTGCGTGAAACAATTTTGCGTGTACAACAACGCATCGAAATGCACTCTGGATAATTCTCTCTTTACTGTAAGACTGCTGGCTAACCCGTCTTGAAACCATTAATGGTCATGCGATGTATCCATATAATTCTTCATATTGAAGCTACAACTTATAATTTATAAGCTTGATTTGAAGCAGACATATATAAGTTATATCAAAGATGCGAGATAGATTTATAGCCGTAATGTCATGTAAATTGGTAAACACATTTTGTAATAATATTTATAATAACAGGGTAACTGGAGTCACTCTCTCAAATCGAACATAGTTTTTATGATTCACTAAACTCAACACAACAACATCTTGTTTTCTCAAGATTTCAGGTTTTATTTCAAATCAAATTAGGTTACATTATCATAAATCATGTTGTGGTTTGTCTAACTTTTATTCAGACTGATGGTTCGGGTAACCAAATGACGTAATCAAGTACTTGTTGACAAATATACAGAATATGTTTTCTAAACAAATCACAGAATGATAGATAGAATATACATAACAAAATCATACAAATGGAGAATAAGATTCATAACTGAGACTTGATAGTAACAACAACACAGACTATGTAGTCACACGTCATGATGTGTGTGTGTGTGTGTGTGTGTGCGTGTGTGTGTGTGTGAGTGAGGATTTCCCTCTACATCTCCAGCAAGAAGAGTGTTGATATTATCATGGACTCATTAAAATACTGTGCAAAACAAAGATTGTAAAGAAGACAGTGAATGACTTATTGACAGGAAAGAATGTTCCCTTTATTAGGTGAGGTGAAATTTATAAAACATTTATTATTATGCACATATATTGATGCACTGTACTCAAATCAATCATATCCTAAAAAATGATATAGTATACACCAGACAAGCACATTTAAGTTGACCTTTCTTTTCAAAATGTAAATTATGTACCAAATCGTGGTCTTGTATTTACAACTTGTAGGTAAAGGCCAACATTGTGCCACTAAATACAAGTCCATTTACATACAGTGACACAGTGCAATACGTGTGTGAGTGTGTAGAAATAAACAGTAGAAGACAGACTAACGAACGTCAGGAACAGTGATAAATATATGATACATGACTAAACACAGATGTCATGATGTGCGAAATATAAGCAGATATACTTGAGTGCAATGCATTGTGACATCAAGCCATGTTGTGTGGACATTCGTTGTTTGTGCCGCAATTATCAGATGAAACTATGATAGCAGAATAGACCTCGATCTCGTATGCAATGTTAAAAAAATGAACAATGCAAATGCAACTATTAGAGATACAACAAAATCGTCTCAATGAATAATTGAGTAAATAAATTGAGTTTTCGTATAGTGACCTAGTTCTGTGCTCATACACTTTTCCCACCTTGGTTGACTGAAGTGACAATGCTGGTGATTGCGTCCCCATTTTGGAATCCATACTGTAGCAACAGTCGATGTGATTTCGGATGTTTGTTGACTGTTGTGATTGTAGGTATTCGAAGACACCTTGTCCACATCCATGAACAGTCCTTCATGACCCACTGTGAAATTACTGTGCCATGTTTGATTACAGAGGTTGAAGCATGGCAATCTTGTTGATAGTCTCAGCTGTGCACCCTAATTGTTAAAGAGATTGTTTACTACACCGAAGTCCAGGGTTCGATTCCCCACTTGGATACAGTACCTGGTGTTCATTTCTGGGGTCCCCGTCATGATATTGATGGAATATTGTACAAACTAAACTCACACACACTCACTCTTATGGTAAAATGCTGTCTTTCCAAATCAATAAGCTCCCTGTTGTTTCATGAGTTTAACAACACTCGCATCAGCATTGCCTCTCTCACACAGATAGTGAAATGCTGTCTTTCCCCAATCATCAGTCTTATTAACATCAGCTCCATGTTGTATCATTAGTTCTACAACACTCGCATCAACATTGCCTTCCTTACACAGATAGTGAAATGCTGTCTGTCCATAGATACTAATCTTGTTAACATCAGCTCCATGTTGTATCATCAGTTTTACAACACTCGCATCAACATTGCCTCTCTCACACAGATAGTGGAATGCTGTCTTTCCCTCATAACCAGTCTTGTTAACATCAGCTCCATGTTGTATCATCAGTTTTACAACACTCGCATCAACATTGCCTCTCCCACACAGATAGTGAAATGCTGTTCTTCCAAACCTATTAGTCTTGTTAACATCAGCTCCATTTTGAATCATTAGTTTTACAACACTCTCATCAACATTGCCTCCCTCACACAGATAGTGAAATGCGGGCTTTCCAGCATCATCAGTCTTGTCAACATCAGCTCCATTTTGAATCATTAGTTCTACAACACTCGCATCGACATTGCCTCTCTCACACATATAGTGGAATGCTTTCTTTCCCCCATAACCGGTCTTGTTAACATCAGCTCCATGTTGTATCATTAGTTTTACAACACTCGCATCAACATTGCCTCTCCCACACAGATAGTGAAATGCTGTCTTTCCATCACCATCAGTCTTGTTAACATCAGCTCCATTTTGAATCATTAGTTCTACAACACTCGCATCGACATTGCCTTCCTTACACAGATAGTGAAAAACTGTCTTTCCACCAGCATCAGTTTTGTTAACATCAGCTCCATGCTCCAAAAGGACACGGCCGGCTGTAACGTTTCCACATTGTAGGACTTTGGACAACATACTACTTCCTGTTTCATTCTGCTCATGGATTGGTATTTTCCCCGTTTGCTGCAAAACATCAGACCGTGCATTAGTTATTGACGATGCTAAAGTTACACTTGACTTCCCTCATGGGACGTTCTTTTTGTTGTTGTCAGATCACCGACTACTATTAGCAAAGATACAAAGGCTATTCGTATCGAAAATCAGACTGATATAAAATGAGTTTGAACACGACAATATGTAAGTTATATCATGACATGCCAACACGATGTAGAATGGAATTTAGAAGTGATACAGATCTTGGATGTAAGATGCTTTGAGGAGACTGATGGGCACGGTACTGACAAACCAAGGAACATAATCTGGACGAAAAAGCGATACACAGGTTTCTGGTGTGCCAAAGGAACCCAGATCCCCCAACAAACGACGAATTGAGAAGATATTCAGAATATCTCGTACGTAAAAACGGTTGCAACAATTCGATGAATCCAACACTGAACGGGGATGATTTATGTTGATGGTTTACTTACCTTCCAGCATAGGCAGCAGAAAGTGTTCCAAAAGGTATTCGCCTCAATGATGGATGGAAAGAAAGCCCGACAAAAGTCCTCGTTTTGGAAAAATGGATGACCAAGCACATCAAAATGTCTATAGAGGACTGGTAGGGTGAACCGTTCACACAAACGTTGGATGTTTTCTGGGGTTGGTGGTACGCTGAAGACACTTCTTGACACATCAATATCATGGGTATGTGACGTTGAAAAACTAATTTTCTCCATTATAAAAGAGGAACTGAAATATTTGAGAACAAACACCACGTCGCGTTTGCCTATGCAGTTTGCTACACTTTCATACACTGAAGGATGCGCGAATGTTATAATCCCTTGGGTGTTTGACAGAAAGCTTCCAGTTAGAGGAGAAGATACTTTAAAGGATACCACTGCGCTGTTCATCGTCTTCTATCTCACTGGTATCAAGTCGCCCATCGTTTTGCAAAGAGTCTTGAACAAATGTTTCAGTTTTTCGTTATCTAGATACGCATCAGTCGTGGCATCTAAGATCTCAAGAGGAGAGGAGAAAAACTGGACAATGTGTCATCTTGTTTTCCTTCGACTTTAACTCTCTGCAAACAGTTTGCAACAATGTGGAAATCCGTATGGTATGCTTCTCGCAATAACTTTTCCTTTTCCTCTTCTGATATGCCATGAATATTCTTCTGATTCAGATGATAGTTTAGTATTGCAGTTTGCTCCCCATCCGGCAGACGAGAGAGATTTGAAACAGCATTTTCCCCAAGAATGGAAGATTTATGCTTTTCAAAACTGCACTCAGCTTCTTTTAAGATATTTGACCTTTGCACAAACACACAGATGACACCACATGGCTGCCCAGATTCTTCAGCCGTTGACATATTTTCCATCACATCGAGCAACACAGGTTTCCATGTGCTGAAAGCGTAAGTATCAAGAGCAAAGGTCCCTATAACATCGTTCATCATGATGACACATCGGTCGGTGTTCTTTGTGATGGTATAATAGTCCCCTACTGTCTTCACTCTAAACACTTCTTTTCCTTGCTTCATCATCTCCTCAAGCACCATGTAGGCCACAGTTGTCTTCCCATCACCACCGTTTCCGGTGACTGTGATCCAGTTTTGTCCTGCGTCAATCTTCTTCACGATGTCATCAACGAACTGTGTTTTTATTAGACCAGATGTCCGAGTATAGATTTCTGAAACTGTCACATCTGTGAAATACATAAGATACAATGTCAATGTATCATCTTGATATTGATCCTGATTATCTTTAATATGCTAAACAGAATTTACATAATCGTTATTATGTTATTATCGTAATTACGTACGTTCAAGATCAGATGATCAAACATACTTATATGTTCACTTGGCAAATGTTTTTCAAACATTAACAGGAATTTTTAAGGTGCCACACCCACCTTTTATCCTCTGTATTTCGAGGTCTTGTGGGATATCTGAAAATTATTTCATATAATCATTGCATGTGTAAAAAGGTCTGATGTGTAAAACCAATCTTTTCGAGTCTCCTACATATATCACATTGTTAGTCTACAAGTGTTTCATTATATACCATAGGTACTTTGTATCTTACTTCAGTTGCGTCATTTCATGCTGCATTTTATCTTATTATTCAACAAGATATCGTTTTCCAAAGGTTTCATGTCATCGTAAAGGCCAAGCTACATCTGCTTCATGTTTTCATTTTGCGCTGTTTGTTCATAATGCTATTATTGCATTTCATGTGTCCTTCACATCCTGTTTGCGTTTCAGGATTCCGGTATTTCCAAACCATTATTCTCCGTTTCTTGTTTCTATTATCCTACAATTATTTCATGTGATCACATTTGTTTTGTTTGACATTGTCCTACCGCATGTTTCAATCTACAGATGCTTAATACAGTCCTGGTTGGTTGGGTGAGTGAGTGAGTTTAGTTTTACGTCACACTCAGCAATATTCCAGCTGTATGACGGCAGTCTGTAAATAATCGAGTCTGGACCAGACAATCCAGTGATCAACAGCATGAGGATCGATCTGCGCAAATTGGAACCGATGACATGTGTCAACCAAGTCAGCGAGCCTGACCACCCGATCCCGTTAGTCGCCTCTTACGACAAGCATGGGCTACTGAAGACCAGTATTCTAACCCGGACCTTCACAATGTTGGGTAGCCTAGTGGTGAAAGAGTTGGCTCGTTACGCCAAACACCAAACTTTGATTCCCCATATGGGTACAATGTGTGAAGCCCATTTTTGGTGTCCTCCACCGTGATATTGCTGGAATTATTGTCTCAAAAGAAGAAGAGATTTAATCAAAATGGAAACCTCTCCTTAAGCAATAAGAATCTGATTCAAAGACATTATAGAAATATATATTTTGCAAGTGTATCATATGTATTTCAAGAGTCAAGCTCCAACAAACTTAGTCACACATCTGAGCACTCTTCGTTGATTGAATGGTGTGTGACCTGAGCTCTATACACAAGACCACACGCAGGTGATGATCCTTACAGATGATCTATATCATGCTACTGGGGTGTCATGTCCGATACAGATGTTCTATATCATGCTACTGGGGTGCCATGTTCGCCTACAGATATTCTATATCATGCTACTAGGGAGCGATATTCCCCTACGTATGTTCTATATAATGCTACTTGGGTGCCATGTCCAATAACAGATGTTCTTTATGATGCTAAAGGGATGCCATGTCCACTACAGATATTCTATATCATGCTTCTGGGGTACCATGTCCAGCTGCAGGTGTTATATATCATACAGGGTATTTCATGACCCCTACAGATGTTCTATATTATGCTAATGGGATGACATATCCCTTACACATATTCTATATCATGCTACTGAGGTTCCGTGTCCTGCTCCAGGTGTTATATATCATACAGGGTATTTCATGTCCTCCTACAGATGTTCTATATCATGCTACTGGGGCGTCCTGTCCTCCTACAGATGTCCTATATCATGCTACTGCGGTGTCATGTCGCCTACAGATGTTCTATATCTTGCGACTGGGATGCCATGTCCCCTACAGATGTTCTATATCATGCTACTTGGATGACATGTTCACCTACAGATGTTCTATGTCATGCCACTGGGGTGCCATGTCCCCTACAGATGTTCTCTTTCATGCCACTTCCATGCCATGTTCCCCTACATATGTTTTATATCATGCTACTGGTGTGACATGTTCGCGTACAGATGTTCTATATCATTCTTCAGGGGAGCCATGTCCTCCTACAGATGTTCTATGTCATGCTACTAGGGGACCATGACCCTACATTTCTTCTATATCATGGTACTGGGGCGTCATGTCCTCCAACAGATGTTCTATATCTTGGTACTGGGGCGTCGTGCCTCCTACAGATGTTTTATATCATGCTACTGGGGTGCCATGATCCCTACTGATGTTCTATGTCATGCTACTGGGGGTGCCATGTCCCCTACAGATGTTCTATATCATGCTACTGGGGCGTCCTGTCCTCCTACAGATATTCTGTATCATGCCACTGGGGCGCCATTTCCCCTACAGATGTTCTATATGATGCTACTGTGGTGCCATATCTACTACAGATATTCTATACCATGCTACTGGGGGTGCCATGTCCCCTACAGATGTCCTAAATCATGTTACTGGGGTGTCATGTCCCTTAAAGATGTTGTATATCTTGCTACTGGGGTGTCATGTTCTCCTACAGATGTTCTATATCATGCTACTGTGGTGCCATATTCCCCCTACAAACGTTCTATATCATGCTACTGGGTCGTCTTGTCCCCTACAGATATTGTATCTCTTGCTACTGGGAACCCATGTTCCCCTACAGATGTTCTATATCATGCTACTGGGGTGCCATGTCCTCCTACAGATGTCCTTTATCATGCTACCAGGATGTCATGTCCCTACAGATGTTCTATGTCATGCTACTGGGGTGCCATGTCCCCTGCAGATATTATATATCATGCTACTTGGGTGCCATATCCTCCTACAGATGTTCTATATCATGCTACTGGGGCGTCATGGGCCGTACAGATGTTCTATATTATGTTACTCGGGTGCCATGTCCCCTACAGATGTTCTATATCATGCTACTGGGATCCCATGTTCCCTACAGATATAATTTATATCATACTATTCGGGTGCCATATCCTCCTACAGATGTCCTACATCATGCTACTGGGGTGAAATGTCCACTACAGATGTTCTATGTCATGCTTCTGTGGTGCCATGTCCTCCTACAGATGTCCTATATTATGTTACTGGGGTGCCATGTCATGTCATGTCCTCCTACAGATGTTCTATATCTTGCTGCTTGGATGCCATGTCCCCTACAGATATTCTATATCATGCTTCTAGAGCGTCATGTACTCTACAAATGTTCTATATCTTGCTACTCGGATGCCATGTACCCTACAGATGTTGTATATCATTCTATAGGCGTGACATGTTCCCCTACAGATGTTTTATATCATTCTACTGGGGTGCCATGTCCACTACAGATGTTCTATATCATGCTACTGGGGTGCCATGTCCCCTACAGATATTCTATACCATGCTACTGGGGCGTCTTGTCCTCCTACAGAAGTTCTATATCATGCTACAGGGGTGTAATGTTCTCTACATATATTCTATGTCTTGCTACTGGCGTGTCATGTCCGCCTACAGATGTTCTATATCATGCTACAGGGTTGCCATGTCCGCCTACAGATGTTCTATATCATGTTACTTGGGTGACATGTCCCCTACAGATGTGCTATATCATGCTGCCAATGTGCGATGTCCCCTTACAGATCTTCTACATCATGTTACTGGGGTGCCATGTCACTACAGATGTTCTATATCATGCTGCTGGTTGCCATGTCCGCCTACAGATGTTCTATATCATGCTACTGGGATGAGATGTCCCTTCAGAGGTTCTATATCATGCTACTGGGATGAAAGGTCCCCTACAGATGTTCTATATCATGCTACTCGGTTGCCATGTCCCCTACAGATGTTCTATATCATGTTACTGGGATCCCATGTCCCCTACAGATATAATTTATATCATGCTATTCGGGTGCCATATCCTCCTACAGATGTCCTACATCATGCTACTGGGGTGTAATGTCCACTACAGATGTTCTATGTCATGCTTCTGTGGTGCCATGTCCTCCTACAGATGTCCTATATTATGTTACTGGGGTGCCATGTCCCCTACAGATGTTCTATATCTTGCTGCTTGGATGCCATGTCCCCTACAGATATTCTATATCATGCTCCTGGAGCGTCATGTACTCTACAAATGTTCTATATCTTGCTACTCGGATGCCATGTACCCTACAGATGTTGTATATCATTCTATAGGCGTGACATGTTCCCCTACAGATGTTTTATATCATTCTACTGGGGTGCCATGTCCACTACAGATGTTCTATATCATGCTACTGGGGCGTCCTGTCCTCCTACAGATATTCTGTATCATGCCACTGGGGCGCCATTTCCCCTACAGATGTTCTATATGATGCTACTGTGGTGCCATATCTACTACAGATATTCTATACCATGCTACTGGGGGTGCCATGTCCCCTACAGATGTCCTAAATCATGTTACTGGGGTGTCATGTCCCTTAAAGATGTTGTATATCTTGCTACTGGGGTGTCATGTTCTCCTACAGATGTTCTATATCATGCTACTGTGGTGCCATATTCCCCCTACAAACGTTCTATATCATGCTACTGGGTCGTCTTGTCCCCTACAGATATTGTATCTCTTGCTACTGGGAACCCATGTTCCCCTACAGATGTTCTATATCATGCTACTGGGGTGCCATGTCCTCCTACAGATGTCCTTTATCATGCTACCAGGATGTCATGTCCCTTACAGATGTTCTATGTCATGCTTCTGGGGTGCCATGTCCCCTGCAGATATTATATATCATGCTACTTGGGTGCCATATCCTCCTACAGATGTTCTATATCATGCTAGTGGGGCGTCATGGGCCGTACAGATGTTTCATATTATGTTACTCGGGTGCCATGTCCCCTACAGATGTTCTATATCATGCTACTGGGATCCCATGTTCCCCTACAGATATAATTTATATCATACTATTCGGGTGCCATATCCTCCTACAGATGTCCTACATCATGCTACCGGGGTGAAATGTCCACTACAGATGTTCTATGTCATGCTTCTGTGGTGCCATGTCCTCCTACAGATGTCCTATATTATGTTACTGGGGTGCCATGTCCCCTACAGATGTTCTATATCTTGCTGCTTGGATGCCATGTCCCCTACAGATATTCTATATCATGCTTCTAGAGCGTCATGTACTCTACAAATGTTCTATATCTTGCTACTCGGATGCCATGTACCCTACAGATGTTGTATATCATTCTATAGGCGTGACATGTTCCCCTACAGATGTTTTATATCATTCTACTGGGGTGCCATGTCCACTA